TACTTCTCATATTCAATTTTTTTCAGAGATATTGCTTCCAAGGGGGAAAGCCACCAGGGTGTTTTTTACTGAAGCAAATTTTTATACTTCTCCCATACCCTAAACATTGGTTTTCTTACTATATGATTCTGAAAAGCTCTATGCACCTTGGCCTTTTCCTACCATAAATATGCATGCTATACATTATTTGTGTCCTTCCAGATCTAAAATACAGTATCTGTGTTTTCTAATGTAATCCATTCCCGGTTCTAGCAGATACAGGATGCTTCATAATAAAGTTTCAAATCCGGCAGGGTGAAACCTCCTCTCTCTCTTACATCTGTTAATAATTTATTTTTTATACTTGGTTTCGTCCCTTGTCTGATAAACCTAGATATATCTTCTTGCCATTTTTCAAAGCATCCTGTGTTGCCTATTGCCTGGACTGCTTAGAATAAAAATAACATTTTTGGCAATACATTCATTTTATTACTGATATTCCACCCCAAAATGATAATTCATTCTTCCCCATATCTCTAAAGCTGCTTTTATTTCTTTCCACTCATCTTGTAATTGTCCTTAACAATATTAATATCTCTAGCTGTCAAACAGATATCCCAGTATTTGACTTTGTTATGTATAATAACTCTGTTTTCTGTTGTATTTCTTTTGGTCTTGCTCCATTGTGTTTTTTACCAAAACTTAGAATCATAGAATCATAGAGTTGGAATAGACCACAAGGGCCATCGAGTCCAACCCCTGCCAAGCAGGAAACACCATCAGAGCACTCCTGACATATGGTTGTCAAGCCTCTGCTTAAAGACCTCCAAAGAAGGAGACTCCACCACACTCCTTGGCAGCAAATTCCACTGTCGAACAGCTCTTACTGTCAGGAAGTTCTTCCTAATGTTTAGGTGGAATCTTCTTTCTTGTAGTTTGGATCCATTGCTCCGTGTCCGCTTCTCTGGAGCAGCAGAAAACAACCTTTCTCCCTCCTCTATATGACATCCTTTTATATATTTGAACATGGCTATCATATCACCCTTAACCTCCTCTTCTCCAGGCTAAACATGCCCAGCTCCCTTAGCCGTTCCTCATAAGGCATCGTTTCCAGGCCTTTGACCATTTTGGTTGCCCTCCTCTGGACACGTTCCAGTTTGTCAGTGTCCTTCTTGAACTGTGGTGCCCAGAACTGGACACAGTACTCCAGGTGAGGTCTGACCAGAGCAGAATACAGTGGCACTATTACTTCCCTTGATCTAGATGCTATACTCCTATTGATGCAGCCCAGAATTGCATTGGCTTTTTTAGCTGCCGCGTCACACTGTTGGCTCATGTCAAGTTTGTGGTCAACCAAGACTCCTAGATCCTTTTCACATGTACTGCTCTCAAGCCAGGTGTCACCCATCTTGTATTTGTGCTCTCATTTTTTTGCCCAAGTGCAATACTTTACATTCTCCCTGTTAAAAGTCATCTTGTTTGTTTTGGCCCAGTTCTCTAATCTGTCAAGGTCGTTTTGAAGTGTGATCCTGTCCTCTGGGGTGTTAGCCACCCCTCCCAGTTTGGTGTCATCTGCAAATTTGATCAGGATGCCCTTGAGTCATCATCCAAGTCGTTGATAAAGATGTTGAATAAGACCGGGCCCAAGACAGAACCCTGTGGCACCCCACTAGTCACTCTTCTCCAGGATGGAAGAGGAACCATTGATGAGCACCCTTTGGGTTCGGTCAGTCAGCCAGTTACAAATCCACTGAGTGGTAGCATAGTCAAGACCGGCATTTTACCAGCTTCTTTTTACAAGAATATCATGGGGCACCTTGTCAATGCCTTGCTGAAATCAAAGGTAGGCTACATCCACTGTGTTCCCTTCATCTACCAGCTTGTAATTCTGTCAAAAAACGAGATCAGGTTAGTCTGACATGACTTATTTTTTCAGAAATCCATGCTGACTATTGGTGATCACAGCATTCCTTTCTAGGTGCTCACAGACTGTTTGCTTAATGATCTGCTCCAGAATCTTCCCTGGTATTTGATGTCAGACGACTGGGCGATAATTATTTGGGTCCTCTCTTTCCCCCTTTTTGAAAACAGGGACAACATTTGCCCTCCTCCAGTCTGCCGGGACTTTGCCTGTTCTCCAGAAATTCTCAAAGATGACTGCCAGTGGTTCTGAGATCACATCTGCCAGTTCTTTTAATACTCTTGGATGCAGTTTCATCTGGCCCTGGAGACTTGAATACATCTAAACTAGCCAAGTATTCTTGTACTATCTCCTTAGTTATTCTGGGCTGTGTTTCCTCTGCTGAATCATTTGCTCCAAATTCTTCAGGTCGGGCATTGTTTTCTTTATCGGAGAAGACTGAGGCAAACAAGGCATTGAGGAGTCTTATTCTTGTTTAGTTTAAAGCCCCCAGCCTGCCCGAAGTCCTGCATCTTTTCTACCACCTTCGGTGGAGTATTTATGGAATCCTTCACTGTAATTACAAGGTGAACTGTGAAAGCTTTTAATTTATATGCTTTATTTTCTACTGTTATTCCTGTAATTAATTTCTCCACTTTGTCTCCCTCACCAGGGCCTCTAATACCAAAATAAATAATAATGGTGATAGGGGATATCCTTGTCTTGTCCCCTTCCTTATTTTACACTTTTCTGTTATCACCATATTAACAATCAGCATAGACTGTTGGTAGAAATAAATTGCATCAATTCCTCTCCCAAATGCTTCCTCAAAATTCATTTTTTCTTTTATCTTTTCATAAAAGCCCATGAAACATTATCAAAAGCCTTTTCAGCATCTATAAACATTAAGCCCACTTTTTTCTCAATTTTTACTTCCAAGTATTGAATAATATCAATTATATTCCTTATATTTGTCGGGATTCAAGCCTATATGAGTAGTAACTGGCAACTCTCCAGGCACCCGGCTTGATCTCCTGTTAACCTCCCTGTCTGCATTCCTCAGCGAGATCCAAGCAGAGGTCGCGATAGGCGATCCTTCTCAGTGTGAGAAGAACACCCCCCCTCTTTCTTGCCCCCCCAGCAGGGAAAAGAGATAGACAGAAACGTATTTACATGCCTTTATTTCTGTCTTTGCAGCATTACAAAAACATGACTGCTCTCTTCAAGCTCCAGCAGTCGAATGACAAACACTTCCTGTACTTCCTGTACAGCTCATATTACACTCTGAGCTAATTCCGGTGCTTCACACTGAATTGACTGTCCCTCTGTTTCCCACGGACAGTCCCAACATCATGTGATGTTTTCAAGCTCGCAGCTCGCAGCTGCATTGCTTCTATATCGTAACAATATTTTCCTTCATCTGACGTCCTGGTAGAAAGCAGGCCTGATTGTGCTGAATTTTTCTGCTAAAACACCTTTCATTCTATTGCCCAAAATATGAGCAATACTCTAAATGGAGTATTTTTCTCGCCTTTTAGTTCAAGAATTATTGGTTTGTGGTCCGAAAGTGTTCTTAGTTGTATTTCTGCATTTTTAATCTATGGAATTCCATCCTACAGGAATGATGGCCAACAATTTGGATAGCTTGAAAAAAGAGGATTAGACTGACGTCTCTGCTCTGCCCTCGTGGTCCTAGGCAATTATGCTTCTTAATACTAGTTCCTGGAAAGCACAGGAAGGCAGAGGGCTCTTGTACTCAAATCCGGCTTGCTGGTTTCCCACAGGCATCTAGCTGGCCACTGTGAGAACAGGATGCTGGACTAGGTGGGCCTTTTCCCAATCAAGCAAGCTCTTCTTATGTTCTAATACAGGCATCCCCAAACTTGGCCCTCCAGATGTTAAGGACTACAACTCCCATCATCCCTAGCTAACAGGACCAGTGGTCAGGGATGATGGGAATTGTAGTCCCAAAACATCTGGGGGATGTTTGGGGATACTAATATATTGGAATATTTTTACAGTTACATGTGGCAAAGTAACACTTCAGTTTTCTTAGTCATAGGAGAGACTGCTACTCGAACCTGTGATCATTTCCTCCCTGGAAAAAGAGAAATACAGAGATGTGTCTAAGAAGCCAATTCCACCATAGATTATAAAATAATGCAGTTTATTAAGTGTGAATGGAATGACCATGTGTTGTTCTTGCCATTATCTGCATTCCTAAAAGTTTGGAACATAGATAGGACAGTGGAGAAAGGAGACAGTGTTAAAATAGGAGAAGGTGCATATTGCGATTGACGTGTGTTCAGTTCCTTTCTTGTAAGTCTTAACAGGATTCTCTTCCCCTTCCTCCCCATTCCCAAACAGGTGAGGAACATGATGGCCAGAATTCTATGGAGCCATCTGTGAATTCATTGGGAAGAACAAAAAAACAGTTTAAATGCCTGGAACGTGGGATGTGCTTTAGTCACAGTGGAAGACTGAGGACACATCAACGAATCCACATAGAGGAGAAACCATTTAAATGTACTGACTATCGAAAGAGCTTCAGGGACAATGGAACTCTTAGAAAACATCAAGGAACTCACACAGGGGAGAAACCATTTGAATGTATTGAATGTGGAAAGAGCTTCGGTAAAAATGGAGCACTAAGAACACACCAACGAACTCACACGGGGGAAAAACCATTTGAATGTACTGAATGTGGAAAGTGCTTCAGTCGATATGGAACACTTAGAATGCACGAACGAACTCACACAGAGGAGAAACCATTTAAATGTATTGAATGTGGAAACAGCTTCAGTCAAAATGGAAACCTTAGAATACATCAACGAACTCACACAGGGGAAAAACCATTTGAATGTACTGAATGTGGAAAGTGCTTCAGTCGATATGGAACACTTATAATACACCAACGAACTCACACGGGGGAGAAACCATTTGCATGTATTGAATGTGGAAAGAGCTTCAGTCAATATGGAACACTTAAAATACACCAACGAACTCACACGGGGGAGAAACCATTGAAATGTATTGAATGTGGAAAGGGCTTCAGTGAAAGTGGAGCACTTAGAAGACATGTACAAACTCACATAGAAGAGAAACCTTTTAAATGTATTGCATGTGGAAAGGGCTTCAGTAAGAGTGGAGACCTTAGAATACACCAAGGAACTCACATGGGGGAGAAACCATTTAAATGTATTGAATGTGGAAAGAGCTTCTGTAGAAGTGGGACACTTAGAAGACATCAACGAACTCACACAGAGGAGAAACAATTTAAATGTATTGAATGTGGAAAGAGCTTCAGTAGAAGTGAACACCTTAGAAGACATCAACTAACTCACACGGGGGAGAAACCTTTTAAATGTATTGAATGTGGAAATAGCTTCAGTCAAAGTGGAGCACTTAGAATACACCAACGAACTCACACGGGGGAGAAACCATTTAAATGTTTTGAATGTGGAAAGAGCTTCAGTAGAAGTGGACACCTTAGAGTACACCAACGAACTCACACGGGGGAGAAACCATTTGCATGTATTGAATGTGGAAACAGCTTCAGTCAAAATAGATACCTTAGAATACATCAACGAACTCACACGGGGGAGAAACCATTTAAATGTTTTGAATGTGGAAAGTGCTTCAGTGAAAGTGGAGCACTTAGAAGACACCAACAAACTCACACGGGGGAGAAACCATTTGCATGTATTGAATGTGGAAACAGCTTCAGTCAAAATGAATACCTTAGAATACATCAACGAACTCACACGGGGGAGAAACCATTTAAATGTATTGAATGTGGAAAGAGTTTCAGTAGAAGTGGACACCTTAGAATACATCAACGAACTCACACGGGGGAGAAACCATTTGAATGTATTGAATGTGGAAAGAGCTTCAGTCAAAATGTAATACTTAGAAGACATCTACAAACTCACATAGAGGAGAAACCATTTAAATGTATTGAATTTGGAAAGAGCTTCAGTAAAAGTGGACACCTTAGAATACACCAGCGAACTCACACGGGGGAGAAACCATTTAAATGTACTGAATGTGGAAAAAGCTTCAACAGGAAGGATAAACTTACATTACATTGGCAAACTCACACAGCGGAGAAGCTTTAGTCAATATGGAACCTTAGGAAATATCCACTAATTTACATGGGGAGGTCTTAATACAGTGGTACCTCGGGTTACGTACTTAATTTGTTCTGGAGGTGTATTCTTAACCTGAAACTATTCTTAACCTGAAGCACCACTTTAGCTATTCGGGCCTCCTGCTGCCGCCACGCCACCACCACACGATTTCCATTCTTATCCTGAAACAAAGTTCTTAACCCGAGGTACTATTTCTGGGTTAGCACTGTCTGTAACCTGAAGCTTATGTAGCCTGAAGCATATGTAACCCGAGGTACCACTGTATAGTACTTTCTAGAGCAGTTTCTCAACCTGTGGGCCCCCAGATGTTGCTGAACTGCAACTCCCATCACCCCTAGCTAGCAAGGCCAGAGCTCAGGGATGATGGGAGTTGTAGTCCAACAACATCTGGGGACCCGCAAGTTGAGAACCGCTGCTCTAGAAGGTTTTCTGTTGGAATTATTAGATTGTCTGCGAAGGCTCCGACCTTATAGGCCAGGGGTGTGCAACCTTTAAGACAAAAAGAGCCACTAGGACCCGTTTCCGAAGAAAAACAACAACTGGGAGCCGCAAAACCATTGCGACATTTAAAGCATGCGCGCCGCTGCCCTCTGATCTGACAGCGGGCGGGAAGGTGACGTTGGGACGGTGCGTGACTAACGCACGCACCGCCCCCATGCGACGTCACAGCCAGTACAGCGCCCGCCACAGTGGGGAGTGTCGGGGCGCACAATGCGCCTCCTCCCCTCGCTAGTATCCGCCCCGGAGCCGCGGCAAAGGTGTAAAAGAGCCACATGCGGCTCCGGAGCCGCAGTTGCAGACCCCTGTATAGCCCTTTGTCAAACTTTAATTCCTTCTATTCTAGGGTCTTCTCTTATTGCTTTCAAATACACTTCCAGAAGTGTGATAAAGAGGAGAGGAGAAAGAGGGCAGCCCTGTCTTGTTCCCTTAGAGATATTAAAAGCTTCTGATGTTTCACCATTTATAATTAGTCTGACCCGTTGGGAATTATAAATCGCTTTTATACCACTACATATTTTCTCACCCAAACTCATCATTTCCAAAGTGTTTTGCATGAATGCCCCCAAAACATGATCCAATGCTTTCTCCGCATCCACCAAGATCTTGGCTGCCTTTTTATCTGCTCTCATTTCTAGGTATACTATTGTATCTACTACCAATCTTACGTTGCTGTAAATTTGTCTTGGTCTATAAATCTTAATTTACTCTAAATTGGGTCCATATTTCAGTATCAATGTAATTAGGGCCTCTTGTCATTATTCTGGCACTTGTCCTCCTTCTAAAATTTTGTTCATTATTTTTTCTAACATTGGTAATATGATCTCTTCCAATTTTTTGTAATTCATTAAAGAAATGCCATCCGCACCAGGGACTTTACCATTCTTAGAAGTCACAATTCCTTCTTTTATTTCATTAATATTAATAGGGGAATTTAAGTATTTCTATTCTTTCTCTTATTTTTGTGGCAGTCAACCACAAAGAATCTTGAGGCAGGTTACACATTTATTCCAGTTCAGTCTTTGGTTATTGACATTTCTATCCCACAACCCTATCCACCTAGCAGACTGCCTCTGTCCCCTGGCCCTACAAGCCCATCAGTAACATTTTCTGTAGAGACACTGGGGATTGTTCCAGGACACTTGTCACTTGCTGACAATGCAGAAGGAGGCCCCCTTGGTACACCCAGAAGATACCAGATGTTGGTTGTAGTTACGTCTATACAAAGTGCATAGCCTTTGACCCTCCAAAAAGAAATGGGGAGGAATGAGGAGCCTGAATAGCTGACTAGTAGGAAAGGTACCCTGGTAAGCTTCTGTCAATTCTTGAGGGGGCTTTGTATCATTTAACTTCAAAATGTGGGAAATGTTTGTGGGGCCTCCTCCTCCCCCGGTTGCTGCTGCTGAGTGGGGCCCTGGATATCTGCCCCAAACGTTTGCCTTGATGGTAGCAGGATGGAAGAAGTCAAGTGCCCAGAATCAAAAAGGAAAAGTATTTTCTGCATCTTTTCTTGAACAAAATGGGTATGTCTGAAACCTCAGACAAAGTTCATGTTGACAGTAATAATAATAATAATAATAATAATAATAATAATAATAATAATTTATTATTTATACCCCGCCCATCTGGCTGGGTTTCCCCAGCCACTCTGGGCGGCTTCCAAAAGAATATTAAAATACTATGATACATCAAACATTAAAAGCTTCCCTAAACAGGGCTGCCTTCAGATGTCTTCTAAAACTCTGGTAGTTGTTTATCGCTTTGACATCTGATGGGAGGGTGTTCCACAGGGAGGGCGCCACTACCGAGAAGGCCCTCTGCCTGGTTCCCTGTAATTTGGCTTCTTGCAGTGAGGGAACCGCCAGAAGGCCCTCGGTGCTGGACCTCAGTGTCCGGGTAGAACGATGGAGGTGGAGACGCTCCTTCAGGTATACTGGACCAAGACCGTTTAGGGCTTTAAAGGTCAGCACCAACACTTTGAATTGTGCTCGGAAACGTACTGGGAACCAATGTAGGTCTTTCAAGACCGGTGTTATATGATCTCGGCGGCCGTTCCCAGTCACCAGTCTGGCTGCTGCATTCTGGATTAGTTGTAGTTTCCGGGTCACCTTCAAAGGTAGCCCCACGTAGAGCGCATTGCAGTAGTCCAAGCAGGAGATAACCAGAGCATGCACCACTCTGGCGAGGCAGTCCGCGGGCAGATAGGGTCTCAGCCTACGTACCAAATGGAGCTGGTACACAGCTGCCCTGGACACGGATTTAACCTGTGCCTCCATGGACAGCTGTGAGTCCAAAATGACTCCCAGGCTGCGCACCTGGTCCTTCAGGGGCACGGTTACCCCATTCAGGACCAGGGAATCCCCCACACCTGCCCGCCTCCTGTCCCCCAGAAACAGTACTTCTGTCTTGTCGGGATTCAATCCAATCTGTTTGCCGCCATCCATCCTCCAACCGCCTCCAGACACTCACACAGGACTGTCACCGCCTTCACTGGTTCTGATTTGAAAGAAAGGTAGAGCTGGGTATCATCTGCATACTGATGAACACCCAGCCCAAACCCCCAGATGATCTCTCCAGCGGCTGCATGTAGATGTTAAAAGCATGGGGGAGAGGACAGAACCCTGAGGCACCCCACAAGTGAGAGCCCAGGGGTCTGAACACTCATCCCCCCCACCACCACTTTCTGAACACGGCCCAGGAGGAAGGAGTATCTAAACTGTTATTCATAACCCAGTTAATATATTTATTACTGCTGATATAAAGATAAATGCAATATAATGTTGTCTGAAACAAACACTTTGACCAGATGATCTTGCCTTCTGGGAGGTGGGGCAAGATGCTGAGGGAATCTATTCTATCGGGGGGGGGGAGCTCAGTGCACCCAGAAGATTCCAGTTGTGGGTTCTAGTTGCATCTATACAAAGTGCATAGCATTTGCCCCTCCATAAAGAAAGAAATGGGGAGGAGACAAGAGCTGGAATAGCTGACCAGAAGGAAAGGTAACCTGGGAACTTCATGTTGATCAACCACCTCAGCTCCCTGACCCCAAGAAAAGACCAGTCCAGGGAGGCAGGTGAGCATTACAGCTACACCCCACATTATGCTCTCCAGTAGCTATTCCTTCAGACAGGCCTATTTTCATTCAGTTCTTCGTGTGTCCATGGGTGGGTGTGTTTTACGTTTCCTTTCCCCCCTTCCTTGCAATCCTGACAAAAACCAAACCTCCACGCCAATGCTTTCAGCCCCAGAAGAGGAGCTCCCCTTGGTGTCAAGGGAGGGGGGTTCAAGGGAGCATCTGGAGCCCTGCCATTCCTTCTGTCCCTGGCCCCTTCCCCTCCTCTCTCTGCCATCCCAGGGCCACTCTTGACTCCCCAGCATGAGACTGGATCTGTCTGTGATGGTGAGATGTCCTGGCTGGTTGAAGGACCACTTCCTGTTTCCTGGAGCTCCTTCTTTCTCATGCCAGGTGGAGTCATGAAGCAGGTGAAGACTGAGCACACCTAAGGACAACATGGGGGGGGATTCTGCTTAACCTTTCCCCCTCTGCTCCTTTTCTGGATCAAAATCCCCAGCTAATCTGTCAAGCTGCTGCTGCTGCATCTCACTGTTCCTGTGTCTCTGGAGTGTTTCTTTGAGGAGAATACAGGACACTGCAAAAGACATTGTGTGTAATTAGTGTGCAATAAGGTAGACAGAGGCTGAGCCCTCCCTGTAATGCAAACAGGGAGACTTCTGTCCAGGAGATTTCTGTATAAAAAATTATTTGCTGAGGTGGAAGGGGGGGACTAAGTGTTATGTATTGAAGTTCTCACCCTGGCCACCAGGGGTATTGTGTGTATAGTTTTCACTCAGGTCCACATCAGACAATTTAGGCGGGAAACCCTGGGTTGTTGTTGACAGCCGGCTGCCTATAAAAGGAGGGCGGCTGAGCTGTTTGCTGTTCAGTTCAGTTCCAGCTTACTATAAAGAACCACTTGGAGAAATCTCTGTGGCATCTGCTATGTCCACCCACAATTTAATGCTAAGTGAGGTTGGAGTGGAACCATGTTTGCATGAACATGAGAAGGCAAAATATGTTCTCCATTTAAATATTTATTAAAATAATTTATTCAGTTACCCAGAAGAGTTATTAGGCTCTTTTGCCATAAGCTACTTCATACATTGTAAGAAATGGGTCCTGAGACCCTTGATCCCCTTCCTTAAAATACCATCTGAACAAAATTGGAGAAGCAGTAAAGAGTTTTTTGAGGACAATAGGTAAAGGTAAAGGGACCCCTGACCGTGAGGTCCAGTCATGACTGACTCTGGGGTTGCAGTGCTCATCTCGCTTTACTGGCCGAGGGAGCCGGCATACAGCTTCTGGTTCATGTGGCCAGCATGACTAAGCCGCCTCTGGCGAACCAGAGCAGTGCACGGAAACGCCTTTTATCTTCCCGCTGGTGCGGTATGTAGTAAAAAAAAAAAAAGGTCTTATATATATAATAAATGTTCATAAATGTACCAACCAAGCACGTACATAGATATGTGGACCACAAGTCTGAAGCAGCACAGGAAGACTGTCCTGAAACCATTTTGACTCCCAAACTGACG